CCCCAAAACCCCAAAACCCCATTACTCACAAATTAGAATTAAATTAAAAATATCTTAATAATCTGAATCAATAGAAATCATTATAATAAGGAAATATCGACTACATTTTATTCTTAAATTATAATCAGTATCTTGTAGAACATTTCACTAGCTCTATCATCTAGTTAATCTCAGCTACACTTAAGCCATGTGATTTTTTAAGATATCCTTTACCCTTTGCTACAACAAGAGTCCATTCATTCTTATTAGCAATAAAATACTCTTTTAGAATCTTGATTCCCACTAGAGTCAATAAGACTGATTCATCTATGCCTTTTAATTTCTCATCTTCCTGTTCTTCTCTTAGTTAAGCTAGATCTTCCTAGTTTAGCATTGAGTAAAGCTTTTATGTCCATGAACCATTAGCACTCTAGCAAAATACTATGCTTTTATAGTTGAAGTTTATATATTCGATTTCATTGCTATTGTAAGCTATACCGGCTTCACTTGATGTCATGCCATCATCTAGAATATCACCATCTTTTATTAAGACCAACTAGTGCTCAAAAACACCTAACTTTTAAGCCAATTCATTTCTCACATCTATAATTTAATGGTGGTAAGATACCATTATCTTAGATTTGCTATCAAAGTCGATGCAATCTATTCCGAAGCCGCCTCCTCTTAATCTAAGAACTAGATGAAGAGTGCTCTCCTTCTAGATATTATAATCCTTAAGAGTTTTTCCATCATCTAATTATTTTCCAGCGAATATAAGTCTTTGCTAATCAGGAGGGATGCCTTCAATATCATTAATCATGTTCTTAATATCTTCAATGGTTTCATCAGGTGAGCAATCAAGTGTCAATTATTTTCCAGTTAATGTTTTAGCATATATTTACATGCTACCATTACTTTTAACTATAGGAATTTTCCTAAGTTTCATTTCTTAAGTTACCTCATCCATTATTTTCTCATTAGCTATCATTCCAACACCTGGAATAAGAATTTGATATTTTATTGCCTCGTTCAACTATTCTTCTTAGGTTGAGCACCTGTCTATACTGGCTTTTTCAACTATCTTATTCAATGCTTCACTTTGTATTTCCTCAATGTTTATAATTTATTGAGATTTCTAATTAGTGTTTGGATCAAGAAATTCAACTAGGAACTTAATAGCCTTCTTCTATTTAAGAAGTACTAGTTGTTAGTGAATTTCATTATGACTGAGATTTGATTATTATTCGAAATCACAGTCAATTACCTCTCCTAAATCATCTATTAGCTGAGCTTTCTAGATTATAAGATATTCAAGAAAGTTCTTTTAGAGTGCAGCTATTACTTTTTCCTCTATCTCATGAGGGTTATCAATGAAGCTATAATGGCCTCCTCCTACCATAGCACACTTCTTGATTAACTCTGTACTTACTCCATCTCCAATACCAAAAGTGTGCACAGTTGAGTTGTTTCTGTTATCTTTGACTAATTCAATAACTTCCTCGGTGTTTGAAACTTCTCCATCTGTAAGTAGATAGATATGCCTTGGTAAATTTTCATCAGGAATTTGAGAAAAAATCTCAAATAACGGTTAGGCTATTTCGGTACCTCCCATGTCTGCTTCGAATTCTGCAATGGTAGATACTGCTTTATCAAATGTTGATTCATCATAGATTTAGCTTGTTTCAAATAGCAGTTCAAAATCGGATCCAAAACTAACTACATTGAACTTGCACCCCATTGGTAAACTATGAAGGAATAGTTGGAGTGCTTGAACTGCAAGATGGATGCTCTGACCCTACATTGATCCACTTCTATCTATCAAGAATACATACTCCAATAGCTTAGGCTCGATCTCTATTTCCTCTTGATCTTAACTACATTTTTCTTCCTCTTAATCTTCGATTTAATTTTCATCTTCGTACAAAGATTATTGATCTGTATCAATCTGGCCAAGTTTGCTGTTTATCTTATTTAGGAACCTATCACGGATCTTAGGCCTTCTCAAATCTGGTAGCACTCCTATCATAACAGATTACTCGCCAAATTCGTTCATGCTTGAAATGGCGACAGGTTCATTTGTTAAGTTATCTCTTATGAATAAAATAAGATCACATTCCATCGCTGATTATTTTTCATAATCCTTTAACTTAATCAAAGCAGCTCGCTTGTCCTCAGAGAAATTGTACTCAAAGCCATGATTTCTGGAAGAGACTCTCTAAATCTGCCCTTACATCCTTAGCTCTATTTGGATACTCCATTAAGCTTAATTTTATGAGGAGTCTGTCATTGGGTGATCATATATTTCACTAACAGCTTATTCATTTTACGTTTTTTCTTCTTCTGTCAGATTAGAACCTTTATCAATTCCTTTCAAATGTACTCCAGTGTTAATATACTTTTAGACATCTCCGATATATTTTGGAACATAGCTCATTGGCAGTCTGAAGCAGTAACTTAGGTCTTAAATAGAAAGTGTAGTATAAAACTTCAGTTTTAAAATTGCCTCAGAATTAGGCGGAAAATTACCGATATTGATTCTGACTAAATTTCTTTGTAACTTAGTGAATGCACCAGTAACAGCAGTCTATCCTTAGGCTACGCTTTCCTCGTACTTAATCTCTATTTTCTCTTTTCTATCAATGATGGTTACTATTTCTCTCTAGGTGCCATCCTTGAGTTTAAATTGAATTTGCATATTTGTCAGAACCGAATCTATGTCACAAGGGAACAGAAATACAGTTTCAATTGGATTATCTTCAACGTTAACATAGTGCTAGGTCATTTCAATTTCTGCTATTCTCTGTTCTATTTTCACATCAAAGTCTATGAATTTTAGAGGCATTGGTGCTTTAGAATCATTTTTAATAAGATAGAAAGCATCACTCTATTCATTTAAAAGTTTATTAAGATCTTGGTTTGACATATCTTTTTTTAATTAATTTATATTATTTTTATTGCTTAAATAGTTAAAATATCCATATAGATGGCCTTCACTTAATTCATGAACTTCACTTATACTCATAAATAATTAACTGGGGTTTTGGGGTTTTGGGG